AACCCAAACCATTCTATGATTCTAAGAGAAATTACCTCAGCAGACCCCAGCCGATTAAACCAAGAGCAGCCAGCGCAGCCTCTGGTCTAGTCAGAACAACTCTGGCTCTGACAGCTTTTGATGGACCATGCAGCCCCACACCTCCACCCTGCTGGGCTCCAGGAGGCAGTGGTCACTGACAGTGGCCGATCCTATCCCAGCAAAACCAGTGCTCCAAGCACTGCAGCAGCTGGAAGGTCTGTTTAGAGAAGCGGAAGCTGTGTCCAGAAAGGAGGCGTTCTACCCACTACAGATAAACAGTGCTGCCGTGGCAAAGGCACAGCCGAAGGATTGGCCCCTCATGGTGCCCACTCTACAGCAGCCCATTTTGTTGTCCAGTATGTCAGTGAAGCACTCCCTCTTCTCTGCCATTTAACCTAGGCTTTAGCTCCACAATGTCCTTAGCCACTGTGAGTCTGATACAATAAGAAAGAAGTACAGCTCTTCTTTAGTTTTTTTTTTATTTATTTATTTCATGCTTTTTTTTTTTTTTTTCTTTCTTTCTGTGGCCTTAGGGAGGAACACCAGAAAGTTGCTGATGTTTTTCTCTCCAGAAAATCAAGGCTGAATCACCACACAGCATACATTATGCAGTTTGACAGGAATTTGGCTTTGCTGGATGAAACCTGCCTTAAATATTCCCAACTGGCTACGGTAATTCAGGAGTTTGAGGTAAGGCTCCCATGTTTTTTTACCTGCATGGTTGTGCTACAGGACTTACTCAAAGATAATTTCTGTGAAACTCCACCAGTATTCACACAGGGTAGAATGGAAGAATAGCTCTCTTCACACATCCTGGTGCTAAAACTGAAGTGAAATGTTCAGATGTGCATGATGTGTTTCTGTGTTGTCCACACACACCTGTGTGTGCCTACAGAATGTATGTTTGTGAATCTACACATCTGTGAGTATATTTTGCTGAAATATATGCACAGTGAGGTAGTTTTTCAGTCACATATTAACTTATCAAGCTCTTTGAGGATGTGCTAGAGTTAAGTATTACCATCTCTTCATATATTCTTTCACTGCATTTTCCAACCTGTCTTTTTTACTGGGTCTGGCCAGGATGAAGTCAGGATTAGCGTGTATAGGTGCTTAGTTGCTAGCAGCGATCAACCCACAACATCTTTACAATTGCATTTCTCTATATTTTTAAATGCCTGTTAACTGCTTCCTCTGTTTACAGGGGATGGTGTGACAGGCAACACTGAACTGCAAGACACAAACTCCACTGGGCAATCACATATAGAATTATTTCAATGTAGACACCCTGAATGGTCTGTAAGCTTTAGAGCTGGAACCTTTGGCCTTGTAGCAAGAAGCACATATTTTCCAGTTGTGTTGTTTTCGGTGCTGAATAACTGAAAAACACCATCAAGATACATGTGACAGAAATTCCATGATTTCTGACTACATTTTAAAGTACTGGCAATGTAGCCACTTCACATAATTTCATAAGCATAAACCCATAAGTGGATGGGAAAGTTCAGTTGGGCTACACTGACTCTATTGAGCTAAAATGCTTAAGAGTTATGCTGCTTTATTGTGAGTCTAGAATCCCTGTTTCTTATTATATTTATCTAGTAAGAGAAATAACAATGTTTATTTGTGTGGCAGAGGGGCTGTAAGAATAAATTAATGATCAGACTGTAAAGGTTATTTAGAATGCCAGCTCTATGGGGTAAGGACTGTGTTTTTCTCTCCAGCAAATGTGAAATATAAAGGACAACAATTGATTTCAAAAGACAAGCTGAAGTCAGTATTTACAGATACCTTGCAGTCACCACAATTATTTCCTTTTAGCAGCTGAAGGGAGCTCTGATGGCTCACACTGCTCAGAACATGAACTTGGCAAACACAGGCTTTCTACTCAGAGCTTGTATTCCCAGAATCCCTCCCAGCCACATGTCTATACACTTCTGTCTTAACTATCAACCCTGAGAATTAGCTCTTATTTCTAAGAAAGCAGATGAGGCTTTTCCTAGGATGAAGTCAGCAGGATTTTGCCCTACACTTAACAGATATTAAGTTTTAATTGAGCCCTTATGGAATAGAATCATTTAGGTTGGAAAAGACCCTTAAGATCATCGAGTCCAACTGTAAACCTAACACTGCCACTAGACTACATCCCTAAATGCCACATCTTCTAAATACCTCCAGGGATGGTGACTCAATCGCTTCCCTGGGCAGCCTGTTTCAGTGCTTCATAACCCTTCCGGTGAAGAAATTTTTCCTAATATCCAGTCTAAAACCCTGGCACAACTTCAGGCTCTTTCCTCTCATCCTATCACTTGTTACCTGGGAGAAAAGATCAACACCCACCTTGCTACAGCCTCCTTTTCTCCAGACTAAACAACCCCAATTCCCTCAGATGGTCCTCATAAAACTTCACCAGCTTCACTGCTCTTCTTTGGACACGCTCCAGCACCTCAAAGTCTTTCTTGTAATGAGGGGGCCAAAACTGAACACAGTATTTGAGGTATGACCTCACCAGTGCCAAGTACAAGGGGACGATCCCTTCCCAACTCCTGCTGCCCACACTAGTGCTGATCCAGGCCAGGATGCCATTGGCCTTCTTGGCCACCTGGTCACTCTGCTGGCTCATGTTCATCTAGCTGTTGACTAACACTCCCAGATCCTTTTCTGCTGGGCAGCTCTCCAGCTGCTCCTCCCCAAGCCTGTAGTACTGCAGGGGGTTGTTGTGACCCAAGTGCAGGACTTGCACTTGGCCTTGTTGAACCTCATACAATTAGCCTCAGCCCATTGATCCAGCCTGTTCAGGTCCCTCTGTAGAGCCTTTCTACCTCATATGTGATGTCATGCAATGGGTCAAATCTAAAGGGTAAAGGTAAAGAGAAAAATGCTACTTCTTTTCTATTCATGTGTTAAATTGGATCACAACCTCACTTTATTTTCTTGTAAACACTCTCTGGATATTCAGTTCCAACTCAATCACAGGGAGAGGCTCTGCTGTATTTTGCTCAATTCTACGTCTTGAAATAAGATACTAAAAAGTTTGTTGAAGGCAGAAGAAACTTTCAGTCCAAAAAAGGAACAATGATGAAAAGCTTTCTTGACATCTGATGCCTCTGTCTTCAGATGCCACCCTGGAATCTTTATCCAGCATTTACCTTCTAAACAATACTCGTTTTCCTCCCTTTTTCCTCTGAGTCCAAACTATTTGTGAATGATGCCGTAAGAAATAGACTGTTTACAGTACTTATTTATAGTCACAAAGAGAATATGCCCTAGCAAGCTGGGTAAATTGGGAATGGTTCAATGGAATTTGTGCATGCAACTGGTAGCAAATTTTCATAGTACACTCAGGTGAAGACAGTTTGCTGCTGAGCTCACACAACCCCGCTCTTTGTGTTTCCTTTCCTTTCCATTGAGGACAGCAGAGCTCTGGTGGCAGCCCTCAGAGTGTGAAACACCAGCTTTTGAAAGTGGTGCAGCGTGTCTTCCAGTATCGTGTGCTGCTTACAGGTCAGTAAAATCACTCTCAAAGGTACTCAGTGGAAACCCTCCCATGATGCTGATACCAAGACAGCAGAAAAAGGGCTGCAGCAGAGCGGGATTTCCTGGGATATTCCTTCAATATGCTTAGTATAGGATTCAGGAAATGTTAGGGAGCCTGGGAAGAAGCAGGCACATCTTCAGCACAACCATGCTGAAAGGTCACAAAAAAGTGTAAAGGCAGGAACTTTTAGCAATTCCTTCTTGGCTTTTTCCTTCTGTGAATTAGGAGAGACGGAGTTCAGCCTCACTACCAGCAAACAGGTTTGATTTCATTTCTATCAAGGTCAATTACCAGAGGCAGTAGGGGATAGTAGTCCCCAGCAAGGGCACTCTGCACTGCATCCTGTATAACAGTGGTAAGCACCGTCTCCTTCTACTCCATCAAGAAAGCAGCTGTACCCAGTACTACACCTTAAGCCCTATGTACAGTACACCTAAGGCTAGTGGTAAGTCAAAATCCCAATACAATTTCTCTGCATTGTAGGAGGCAGAGATCCAAATTTATATTTACAGATTTTACATTTACAGTAACGCCTTCCTTTTACATTCAGGACCATACCTATCACTTGCCACCTGGAGTCTCTCCAAAGGGGGTTGTGTTCCCTCTGGTGGCTCCTTCTCTGCAAGCCACAGCAAATCTAGCAAGTCTGAGCCTTTGAGGGGAACAAGCTTTCTGGAGCAGGATGTAGCCCCTAGAAAGAGCTGTGAAGTTTAGGTTTGTAACTAATGAACTGATTGGGGAAGGAAATGGTGAAATCTAACAATCTCGTTGTCAAGTAATCTAGTCAGATCAGAACACAAAAGAACAAGGATCTATACACATAAAGATGGAGAAATGCTTTGGGAATATGTGTTTGTGTGGGCAGACAGGGATGCAAGATGAGATATGCATGGAACAACAAAAAGGACACCATAAATCCTGCCCATACTCAACAGCCAATGAAGGGCACAGTACATCAGAAGGGACTCCTATAAATGCAGCAGAACAAAGTGACCATATGAAATTTGTATTCACAGCACACACTAGCAGCAGTTTCATCTTGCTCCAGACCCTTTGATCAAGGATGCAACTCATTATTCACAGCTGGTTTTGCTTTTTTTAGTATGAGCAATACAAATGAATACCAGATTCCCATAGTAGGACTTTTTTTTTGTCTCACTTGCTTTCCTCTCTGGGTGTGCCTACATTAAGGGCAACTTGCCAGACTTGCAGGTTGCAGTACTTAGTATACTGTCTCAAATGATCCTTACAGGGTTTTTAGTACATGCACACAAATACCATATCTAAGAAAAAGGACTTGGCATGTCCCTGTCAGAAATACCTCCACTATGCTCCATTTTCTCTGCCAATTTCTGTGGTCCACGAGGTAAATTGCAAGCATGAAGCACGGTATTTTGTGAGAGAGCTGGAAAGGTTTCAGTGCAGCTCCAGTGATTGGATTTAATCTATGCTTGAAGCAACTTGAGCTCCTCCTTGTTCCAGGTACTGGCACTAACTGGGGAAAATGAAAGCTTTTGTCTGTAGTGAGATAAGGTTTGCTGGATGAAGATATTCCAGCAAACAGGTTTACTGCTTCAGTTCTTCATCTCAGGAAACCAAGCCCTTCTTTGGCTGCTAGGACTGAGTGTGTCTGGAAAAGTGCAGTCTTTCAGATTCTCTAGACAGCGTAAAAAAAATTAAAATATGCAGGTGTACTTGTGTGTTCATAACTGGCTGTTTCCACCAGATAAGGGTATTTTATGAGGTTACTGGTTGCCAGTTACTGCACTACAGCCAAAAGGAGTTGTCCACTCAGTTAAATGTCCATAGCCAAGGACAGAACTTGCAGCTGTGACAAGGAATGCTAAATATTTTCTGATAACACTGCACAACCCCTTCCTGTCTGACTGAGTACAGGCAGGTGCTTTCCTGAACACATGTAAAAGCCAGGTAGATTCTGGGATGCCAGGGAGAGCATGGCACTAGAAAGAGAAACGTATATGGATAGGACAGCGAAAACACATATCCATGCACAGCACTGTCCTCAGCACAGAAGCCTAGTTCTTGGATACAGAATTTAGGAGCCTGGATTCATCAGAAAGGTAAGAATTAAGTATTTCAGGATTACACTTTTAAAATGGTGGGCACTCATATACTACACTCATTAAAAGCATAAAGACCCAGACAAAGAACAGACAGATGATCCAAGGCAAGTAGGCCAAATAAAAAGTCAGGTTAAAGGTTTGTATATCATTCCAATGTAATTCCTGTAAATGTAAGTCCTATTATGTGTATTTTACAGAACCTATTTTCAGAATGTGATTGCATTCAGTAGTAATCATTGACCTCTGCATGTACAGAACCAGTCTCCTTCCTGTGTCTAAAAAATGCATATAATTCATTTATTATAAATATGGAAAATCAGTCATTACAGCCAACACCGTTCATTCAGATGGGAAAGCAGAATTCATTAGAAGAACAATTATTTGTAAAGTGGTGCTACTCAGCAATTCTCTTGTCTAAGAAATGAGGAAATATTTTTGTCACTCTCTTGTTTATGCGTTTATACCTGCCAAGTTATGTGATAAATCCAAATCTGTATCAATGCTCTTACATTGATTCTCAAAGTAGAATGCAGTCAAAGATAAGTTTTGCTCTGGAAAGAGGCTATATACACTTAATTATTTGGGAGTAAAGTAATATGGGACATTACTGTGAATGCCCCCTCCCTGGAAGTGTTCAAGGCCAGGCTGGACGGGGCTTTGAGCAACCTGGTCTAGTGGAAGGTGTCCCTGCTGATGACAGGGGGGTTGGACTAGATGATCTTTAAGGTCCCTTCCAACCCAAACCATTCTATGGTTAGGATTTTATGGTTTAGCTAATAACATTTCAAATTATGTGGTTCTGATTACTGGATTTCTGTGTTTATGTGATTATTTTCCACAGATTACTTGAATAATCTTTGCCCTGATTCTACAGAGTATGAAGCCACACAAGGTAAAATGAAATGGGTAGAACAAAAATTCTGCTTTGCTAACTCTGCTTCTAAAAAGGTACACGATCTATATTGGTAGTATATGAAAGAGGATTATTTTCAAGATTTTGTGTCAATACGTTAGATGTAAGATCTATAAGAACTGATTACTAATTTATACAAATTATTTAGGGCAAGAACACTATCTTGTTTTCATTGAAACATGGTCTCCCTGCAGTTTTGACACAGCGAACTTACAGAATAAGAAATTATCATCTCTGCAAGTGTGGTGCAGATATTGTAGTTCTGCCCCAGTCATCGGGGAAATCCTAGTCCTCTTTGGCTCTGTCCATATTTGGCCTGGTTATTGTGAAGTCAGTTAGGATGGCTCCACCCACTTGTTTGTGTCCCATTATCTCTAGTATTCTGGATTACCTAAGCCTAAGTAAACTTGAAAGACATTGCATAAAAATCAGTTCTGCACAATCAAGAACAAATCCAAATGTTCAGCTACTAACACCATCCTTTCCAACACATCAGATGGATAAAGCACTGAAGTCAAAGCAAGCTTTAGCTCTGGCCTCAGTGGGAGTAGATTCCAGGATGGAGTAAGCAGGAATAACGCTGTATTAATTAAACCAGCTCACCTCTCTGTTACACTGTGTTACAATAAGGTCTGCGACTGACTTGAAGGTCAGTCTGTTCTGATGAAGAGTAGAGTCTCATGGAAGACTGAGGACCCTAGTCACTGACAGTGGGACTACAGCTATACTAGTAATTTAAACAAGGCCAGGGCAGATGCTCAAGCCCTGCAGCCACAATTGCCCATCCATCTTTTCACACTTCTGGCCAGTGATGGCTAGCAAGCTCACAGATTACCCCAGAAACAGATAGGATGGCCTGTTCCACAGGGGAAGAGATTTGAGATAAGCACCTGAGCCATGTTATACCACTGATCTCAGGGCCAGCAAACATGCCCTTGCCCAGCTTATTTGCCAGTGGAGAATCCAGGTGTTAATTCATGTCACCACTTCATACACACTTCAGTCAGAAAGGGATGACCTGTTCTCTCCTTCAGCAGTAAGGGGTCACGGATCACCTTAGATTGCCATGCTTTTGGATGGCTAAAGCTGGGTTACCTTCACTTCTCCCTGCCACAAGCTCCAACTGCCAAAAACTTGCAAGTAGAAAACATCACAAAAAGATTTTGTGCCATGCTAAGTGCTTAAAAGGGACCTCATGAGCTTTCCTGGTCAGCACAAGTAGGATGCAGAGTTTTGCACAAGAGAATGATGAAGGGGAACAGACAGCACTGTGCTGCGTCTTAAATTTGCTGAGCAATTACATTCTGAACATGCCAAAGAACTTAAAGGAGCTGCTACTGGGGATGTAGTTTGCTTTTTTTTAAAGATGCCCTCACAAACAGAAGGTATTTGGGTTATTTTCCTACTGTTTCTATGGGATTTATGGTGTTTGTTTTACTTCATCCCTCAGCTGCCTTATTCATTGTTTCTGAAATCACTGATCGAGCCAACGACAGCATGCTCCAAGCGGTGAGTCCTACTATGACACATGCTCTCCTGATCAATAGTGTCTTTTCTGCACATCTGCTGAAGCGAATACCTCTCTCTGTTAAATTCTGAAGCCTCCTCCAGGGTGAGAGTCAAGGGTTTACACAGATCTGGTTTACAGTACTGCAGATATGGAGTAGGTCTTTGCCCTTTAGTGCAGCTGTGCAAGATTTAAGTCACTGTAGCAAGCAGTACAGAGGTTTTTTTCTCTTTTGGGGCTGCTGAAATCGTATGTGGAGCAATGAAGTGAGGCATCAACACAGACAGAAGCAAGGAACAAATATCAGCCTTCTTAGTAAGAGCTTGTTTTCAGGTAGGATTTTAAGGCTGAAAGCATAAATGCACAGGAGTTGTTAG